CAATGTTCTATTGTATACACGTGGCAATATGTCAATGCTCTATTGCATACACGTGACACTTTGTATACTGATACAAAACAATGTTTAAATCTTCAACCTTATATAGGTTAATCCTACTCTTTTCTCGTTTCTACTAGGAAAATACAATACAGGAGGATATGGACCGTGTTTGATAGATATATCAGTTTCGAAGTTGTCAAGAATAGGACTAAACTATTCACAGCACTCGATTGGTTTTATATTACATCATCGAAGGATGGCTCAATTTAGACCTATATTTTTTTTGCATGAGAAAACGTTGTTCTATTAATTATGATTGATAACTGTTATTATGTTCTGTGTCTCGTAAGCCAATACTTGCTCGGCACTTTATAAATCATGCATTATTTTAGTCAACACTGTTATATATATATTTTAAAATGTTTGACACGCTAATGAAATATTTATAATAATAATAATTATTATTATTTTTAGTTAAGCCTAGCGCCTTATCTACTTGAAAACTGACCCGGGCTAAATCGGCGGTCATTTGACCATAGTTCACATAATAAAGTGCTATATAAGACGCTGGGAATGGGTCTGGTTTACATCACCTGTCAGACCTGGTGTCAATAACAGTAAAGTATACAATGACCAGGATCCTTGCTCATCTATCAAGGTCTGCAACATTTCACGTGCAACATTTCTGACCAGAGACATTCTTCGCTTATCATTCGTCTGTGCGCGAGTTAATTATATACATTGTATACCGGTATATATTATATATTTATAAAGATGAGATAAACAATTATATAGCAAATCTGCTTCTTTAAACATTCCTGATACTTAGGAGGACCTCTGGCCTGCGTGATTGCCGAGTTATATATGTATATGTATATGTGTGTACAAACAACACTACGGGTGTATACGAAGTCTATAAACGAGGTTTGTAACATCAGGAAACAGGTCGACCTAAGTTGTAGGGTCCGGATATTGATGTATATAGTCACAGTACAGCTGCGGAAACGATGTCTCATTACACCACTGTATAGTCAGTCAACTGCTGCACTGAGTCGCACGTCAAAAAGACACAATTTAACGCACTGAGGTTATTCAACGGCGCGAGCAGAGGGGTTAAACGTGTGTTAGACTGCCGAGATGGCAGACGACGGTGTAGACGAAGAGAGGAAGATAAAAGTAACGGCGGTGGGAGATTGTGGAGTGGGAAAAACTTGTCTCCTCATGACCTACGCCACCAACAAATTCCCCGACAGTGACGTCCCCGGACTTTACGAATGCAGTCAAACTGTGAAAGGTAGGCGCGTGATAACGTTCTTTATGACAAAGTTAAATTTGGTATGGTATGAGTGTCATACGATTAATGAGGTATCGATTGCATGTTAATAAACATCAGATACACGTGCACCAGTGCTTTAAGTTGGTTTTGTATTTACACAGCTATATATATATGTGTGTGTGAAAGTCGACCAATTAACAAGATGTCATTCTGTACCGTTGCCTCAGGCTCATAAATAAACACTATACTTCCCTGATCAATTTGTCCCTTATTAAATGTGTTGATAAAAAGATTTGGAACCGAACACTTGTCTACTTTACAGTACCTAATATTGAAATAAATGAGGAAACATTGAATTTTAGATTTTAAGTTTGAATGTAAATAGTGCTAAAAGAACAATGGCAAAGTGCAAGTATCAATCAGGGAAACGGAATGTTCTCAATAATAAAGGTAGTGTCTGTTGTTTTGTTGCGATCGGCAAGGTTAGTGTCTGTTTTTAGTTGCAATAGTCTAGGTAATGACCTTTCTGTTGTTGCAATCGTCAAGGTCATGTCCTTTCTTTTGCTGTAATCGTCAAGGTCATGTCATATCGTTTGCTGTAATCGCCAAGGTCCTGTCATATCTTTTGCTGTAATTGTCAGGGTAATGTCCCATCTGTTGTTGCAATCGTCAAGGTCATGTCCTATCTTTTGCTGTAATCGCCAAGGTCCTGTCATATCTTTTGCTGTAATTGTCAGGGTAATGTCCTATCTGTTGTTGGAATCGTCAAGGTCATGTGTCCTATCTTTGCTGTCATCGTCAAGGACATGTCCTTTCATTTGATGCCATCGTTAAAGTCACGTTTTTTCTGTTTTAATTGTCGGTGTCGTGTACGTTATTTCTTCATTCCTTTTTGCTATTTGAAAAGTCAAATTCATATCGCATAATGATATTCCTTATATCACAAGGACCATGCTTGTTTTATGTCAATGTATTTTTCTGTGATCCCACTGTTAAGGTCTTGACTTTCATGTTCTCAAATTGGCAAACTCATGCATTTCATGTTTTCCAATCTCCACGACATGTGAGTATGACGTCGTGACTATGTGTAGCTTCAAGCTTGTAACTCACACAGCAATCATGCAGCAACATTACACAGGGCACGTTATACATGTGGATTCTGTTGGTCTATATTAAGCTCTAATTACAGTGATAGAAATCGTTGTTACCCTGGTAAGGGTGATATGCTGAACATAATTTTGTCGTGTGCATTGGTTTTCAAGTGCAAAAGCACTTTACCCTGATGGTCAATTAGATATGCATGCTGCGCGCGAGCCTTTATAGTTTACTACCACACCAGGTCAAATTGCACTGACATATATCTACATATATTGATCTGTGATACTGAACTTATCACAGTATTGATATATGTTTATGCAACACTTTTTTCTATTATCTCCAGTACATTTTATTTGACTGTATGAACACGTTTTTCTACTCTTGAGTGTCACTAGAATCCACGTCTTGATGGCCGACTTCCTGTGTTACTTCCTGTAATGTATGCACAGGCACTGATCACGTGTACCGTGTGTGAAACCATGCTGGACTTACAGGAAAACGTCCGGTATATCCAAGTCGAAAATATCTCCAAAATAGTAACGTTGTATATATTTTATAGACCCAGACAACCACTGTTTGTATCAGACGTAACGTCATATATAGTTGTATGGACTTACACAACCCAGTTTGTATCAGACGTAACGTCATATCTAGTTGTATGGACATACACAACCCAGTTTGTATCAGAAGTAACGTCATATCTAGTTGTATGGACATACACAACCCAGTTTGAATCAGACGTAACGTCATATCTAGTTGTATGGACATACACAACCCAGTTTGTATCAGACGTAACTTCATATATAGTTGTATGGACATACACAACCCAGTTTGTATCAGACGTTACGTCATATCTAGTTGTATGGACATACACAACCCAGTTTGTATCAAACGTCGCGTCATATCTAGTTGTATGGACATACACGACCCAGTTTGTATCAGACGTAGCGTCATATCTAGTTGTATGGACATACACAACCCAGTTTGTATCAGAAGTAACGTCATATCTAGTTGTATGGACATACACAACCCAGTTTGAATCAGACGTAACGTCATATCTAGTTGTATGGACATACACAACCCAGTTTGCATTATTAGCAACATGTATCAGACCATTGATTGTAGTAACAGACAATTGGTAAAGTTAGTATATACTATTCCAGTTTAAATTGCATTGTTAACAACATTGTAGACATTGGAAACCTTACTGTGTATTGTTAGTGACATAACAGTTGTATAGACGATCAACGTTTGTATTGTTAGTGACATAACAACCCCATTTTTATTGTTAGTGACATAACAGTTGTAAAGACAATCCCAGTTTGTATTATTAGTGACATAACAGTTGTATAGACTATCCAAGTTTGTATTATAAGTAACATTATATATAGTTGTATAGACAATCCCAGTTTGTATTACAAATAACATTATATATAGTTGTATAGACAATCCCAGTTTGTATTATTAGTGACATTATATATAGTTGTATAGACAATCCCAGTTTGTATTATAAGTAACATTATATATAGTTGTATAGACTATCCATGTTTGTATTATAAGTAACATTATATATAGTTGTATAGACAATCCCAGTTTGTATTATAAATAACATTATATATAGTTGTATAGACAATCCCAGTTTGTATTATAAGTAACATTATATATAGTTGTATAGACTATCCATGTTTGTATTATAAGTAACATTATATATAGTTGTATAGACAATCCCAGTTTGTATTATAAGTAACATTATATATAGTTGTATAGACTATCCATGTTTGTATTATAAGTAACATTATATATAGTTGTATAGACAATCCCAGTTTGTATTATAAGTAACATTATATATAGTTGTATAGACTATCCATGTTTGTATTATAAGTAACATTATATATAGTTGTATAGACAATCCCAGTTTGTATTATAAGTAACATTATATATAGTTGTATAGACTATCCATGTTTGTATTATAAGTAACATTATATATAGTTGTATAGACAATCCCAGTTTGTATTATAAGTAACATTATATATAGTTGTATAGACTATCCATGTTTGTATTATAAGTAACATTATATATAGTTGTATAGACAATCCCAGTTTGTATTATAAGTAACATTATATATAGTTGTATAGACTATCCATGTTTGTATTATAAGTAACATTATATATAGTTGTATAGACAATCCCAGTTTGTATTATAAGTAACATTATATATAGTTGTATAGACTATCCATGTTTGTATTATAAGTAACATTATATATAGTTGTATAGACAATCCCAGTTTGTATTATAAGTAACATTATATATAGTTGTATAGACTATCCATGTTTGTATTATAAGTAACATTATATATAGTTGTATAGACAATCCCAGTTTGTATTATAAGTAACATTATATATAGTTGTATAGACTATCCATGTTTGTATTATAAGTAACATTATATATAGTTGTATAGACAATCCCAGTTTGTATTATAAGTAACATTATATATAGTTGTATAGACTATCCATGTTTGTATTATAAGTAACATTATATATAGTTGTATAGACAATCCCAGTTTGTATTATAAGTAACATTATATATAGTTGTATAGACTATCCATGTTTGTATTATAAGTAACATTATATATAGTTGTATAGACAATCCCAGTTTGTATTATAAGTAACATTATATATAGTTGTATAGACTATCCATGTTTGTATTATAAGTAACATTATATATAGTTGTATAGACAATCCCAGTTTGTATTATAAGTAACATTATATATAGTTGTATAGACTATCCATGTTTGTATTATAAGTAACATTATATATAGTTGTATAGACAATCCCAGTTTGTATTATAAGTAACATTATATATAGTTGTATAGACTATCCATGTTTGTATTATAAGTAACATTATATATAGTTGTATAGACAATCCCAGTTTGTATTATAAGTAACATTATATATAGTTGTATAGACTATCCATGTTTGTATTATAAGTAACATTATATATAGTTGTATAGACAATCCCAGTTTGTATTATAAGTAACATTATATATAGTTGTATAGACTATCCATGTTTGTATTATAAGTAACATTATATATAGTTGTATAGACAATCCCAGTTTGTATTATAAGTAACATTATATATAGTTGTATAGACTATCCATGTTTGTATTATAAGTAACATTATATATAGTTGTATAGACAATCCCAGTTTGTATTATAAGTAACATTATATATAGTTGTATAGACTATCCATGTTTGTATTATAAGTAACATTATATATAGTTGTATAGACAATCCCAGTTTGTATTATAAGTAACATTATATATAGTTGTATAGACTATCCATGTTTGTATTATAAGTAACATTATATATAGTTGTATAGACAATCCCAGTTTGTATTATAAGTAACATTATATATAGTTGTATAGACTATCCATGTTTGTATTATAAGTAACATTATATATAGTTGTATAGACAATCCCAGTTTGTATTATAAGTAACATTATATATAGTTGTATAGACAATCCCAGTTTGTATTATAAGTAACATTATATATAGTTGTATAGACAATCCCAGTTTGTATTATAAGTAACATTATATATAGTTGTATAGACAATCCCAGTTTGTATTATAAATAACATTATATATAGTTTTATAGACAATCCCAGTTTGTATTATGTTACATTATATATAGTTGTATAGACTATCCATGTTTGTATTGTTAACACTATAATTGTAGGACAGACCAACCTGTTTGTATTGTTAACACTATAATTGTAGGACAGACCAACCAGTTTGTATTGTTTACACTATAATTGTAGGACAGACCAACCAGTTTGTATTGTTTACACTATAATTGTAGGACAGACCAACCAGTTTGTATAAGCAATCATACATACAAAAGTTGTATTGGTAATAAAATCAA